TCATTGAGAGTTACTAATCGTGTATCATGGCAACTAATCGATAGAGGATGGATCATATGGAGGAGAGCATGCGTGCAATGAGCGAAGAAATTCAATCTACGAATCAAACGATGGCAAGACTCGAGAGGATGATGCTCCAAACCGTTGGACGGCGAGCTAGGAGGGGTAACCATTCGGAATCATCTTCCGAAGGGTCAGCCGAATTTGAGGAGGATCACGAAAACCGGAACGAATTTCTGGAGGATGAAGATGTTCGTTCAAGGGGATCAAATCACCGTGGAAGGCAAAGGGTCGAAAGGCCTAAGTTAATACTTCCGACATTTAATGTACGGATCCTGATTCATGGCTAAATCGTGCTTGTCAATACTTTGAGATTAATGAGATACCCAAGTCGGAAAGTGTGAAATATGCCGCTTATTATCTTGACGGAGAAGCAAATGTGTGGTGGCAATGGCTTTCGAGGGTATACAAAAAAGAGGATAAGCGGATTCGTTGGAAGAATTTCAAAAAAGAGATGATTATTCGCTTTGGTGTGTCGGATTATCACAACTGTAATGAAGCTCTATCACATATCAAGCAAATGGGAAGCTTAAGGGAATACCAAAAGGAATTCAAGAGAATTGCAAGTCGAGTTCGCGATTGGCCGGAGGGAGCACTTTTTGGTACATTCATTGGTGGGTTGAAACCCGAATTGGCAGCTGAGGTGAGGTTGGACAAACCAAGAACCATGCGTGCCGCCGTGGAAGCCGCTAGGATGCATGACGATCACTTGATGGCACTACGGAGGGCCAATCGACCGGAAGTGAGGCGACCGATGACTTTCCCTTCTAATGTTCAAAGAACAGGATCCAATACATCAACCGGTAATGGAAAAGACCTTTCACTGGGGGTTAAGCGTTTGTCTTGGGAAGAGATGCAAAGAAGGAGAGAGAAAGGCTTGTGCTTTAATTGTGACGAGAAATTCACACTCGGTCATCGGTGCAAAGAAAGGCGATCGTTTTTCATTGAATGTGTTGAGTCTGAAGAAGATGAAGTAGTGGAGGATGAAGTGAAAAGTGTAATCGATCTTCACGAGGAGGACCCGGAGATGTCGGTCCATGCAATGGCGGGAACTCAAGGACCCAAGACGATGAAGATGCCAGCTTGGTTTCGCGATCGACGTGTAATTGTGCTAATCGACAATGGTTCGTCTCATAATTTTATTAATTCATCATTGTCAGATAGGTTAAATTTACAGGTCACAAAAGTTGAGCCGTTTGAAGTGAGGGTGGCTAATGGTGAGAGATTGAAATACTCGGAGTTTTACCGGGGTGTGCCGATAAAAATGCAAGGGGTCACCTTAAAGGTCGACTTGTATGCACTACCTTTGGTAGGTTCGGACGTGGTTTTGGGGGTTCAATGGTTGGAAGGATTGGGTCCGGTTACTATGGATTATAGAGTGGGAACAATGGAATTTCGTTGGGGGTGATGGCATAGTTAAATTATCAACCGGAGGAAAGGAGGGAACGAAGGAGGTGAGTGCTCAAAGTTTGGAGAAATTGTGGAGGCAAGGTAGTCAAATCTTTGCCATTAGAGTCGATAAATTGGAGGGTGTTGATAAGGAACACTTTCAGCAAAAGGAGATTGACGAGTTGCTTCAACAATTCGAAGAAGTGAAAGTTGATCCAAAAAATCTACCACCACGAGAGTTCGATCATCGCATTCCCTTGTTGGATGAAACCAAAGCTGTACATGTACATCCTTATATGTATGCCCATTTTTAGAAAACCGAGATTGAGAAGCAAGTTCGTGAAATTCTTGAGTCCGGATTAATCCGGCATAGTACGAGTCCTTTTTCTTCACCGGTACTTCTCGCCAAAAAAAAGGATGGGACGTGGAGATTTTGTACAGATTACCGGGCTCTCAATGTGGCTACCATAAAGGATCGTTTCCCAATCCCAAGCATTGATGACATGTTGGACGAGTTGGCGGGATCCCGTTATTTTTCCAAATTGGATTTGCGAGCGGGTTACCATCAGATACGGGTGGCAGAAGAGGACATTCACAAGACGGCATTCCAGACTCATCAAGGTCACTATGAATATTTGGTAATGCCTTTCGGTTTATGTAATGCGCCATCAACCTTTCAATTTGCTATGAATTCGATATTTCAAGAGTACTTGCGAAAATTTGTGTTGGTGTTCTTCGATGATATATTGGTGTATTCGAAGAATTGGGATGATCATGTGATGCATTTGAAATTGGTATTGAATATTTTTAAGGAGAATGATTTTCAGATAAAGCCTTCGAAGTGTTCTTTTGGCCAAGAATCGGTGGAGTATTTGGGCCACATCATATCTTTTGAAGGAGTTAAAGTGGATTCCAAGAAAATTGAGGCGATGCTTGATTGGCCTAAACCGAAGAATTTGAAGGAACTTCGGGGGTTTTTGCAACTGACCGGATATTATCGAAAATTTGTCAAAGACTTTGGATCGATTGCTAAGCCATTGATGGAGATGACGAAAAAAGGAGGGTTCAAATGGTCGGCTAGTAGTGAGGAGGCATTCGAAAAACTCAAGGGGGCTATGTCAACGACCCCGGTTTTAGCTATGCCTAACTTTGAGGTGATGTTTGAAGTGCATACGGACGCTAGTGATGTAGGAATTGGAGCCGTTCTTATGCAAGAAGATCGACCCATTGCATATACGAGTAAAGCCTTGGGGGGTGTAGGAGTGGGATGGTCGGTCTACGTGAAAGAGTTGCTGGCTGTGGTAGAAGCGGTCCGGGTTTGGAGGCCTTATCTTTTGGGTCGACATTTTCGAATTGTGACGGACTAACAACCTCTAAAGCATTTGTTGGAGCAACGAATAGTGACACCGGAGCAACAAAAATTTGTGTCAAAACTCATGGGGTTCAACTTTGAGATTTGTTATAGGCCGGGTCGACAAAACGCAGTGGCGGATGCATTATCTCGTCGGACGGACGTGGCGGAACTTCAAGCCATCTCGGGGCCAACATGGGCTATATGGGATCAACTACGAGAGGCAAATGCTCGAGATGCCTTTTGTAATGATGTTCGTAGGAAAATGGAAGCTCAAGAGAAGGAGGTCCAAGATTATGATGTTTATGGCGGCTTGTTACTATACAAAGGTCGGGTGTATGTACCGAAAACCAATCACGTGAGACCTGAGCTGGTACAATATTTCCATGAAGCCAAGATTGGGGGACACTCGGGAGTGTATCGTACGTGGGCAAGGCTATCCAATACCTTTTATTGGCCAGGGGCAAAGAATGACGTTCGGGAGTTCGTAACAACGTGTGACGTTTGCCAAAGGGTGAAGTTGGATTCCAGAAAACCGGGAGGGCTTTTACAACCTTTACCGATACCCGAAAGAATTTGGGAGGACATAACAATGGACTTCATCGAAGGACTTCCAATGTCCAATGGGTTCAACGGGATCATGGTGGTCGTGGACCGTCTTACCAAGTATGCACATTTCATTCCTATTACTCATCCGTATACGGCTAAATCCATAGCTAAGTTATTTATTGAGTATGTGATGAAGTTGCATGGGATGCCCCGGTCCATTGTATCGGATAGGGATCGAATATTCATGAGTAGTTTTTGGAAGGAGTTTTTTAAATGCAAGGTACCGAGTTGGCTATGAGCTCAGCATATCATCCTCAAACGGACGGGCAAACTCAGGTAACCAATCGCATTCTCGAACAATATCTCCGATGCTATGTTCATGAATTTCCGAGAAAATGGGAAGGATTTCTACCATGGGCTGAATTTTGGTATAATACAACGTACCATGCATCAACCAAATTCACCCCTTTCGAATTGGTTTATGGACGGAAGGCACCCCTACTGGTGAGTTATCCGATGGGAAAATCACCGAATGATGAGGTGGATCGTGAGCTCATGGAACGAGATCTTATGATTCGGGAGCTCAAAGGAAACTTGTACGGGTCAATCAATCGAATGAAGGAGTACTATGATAAAGGAAGAAGAGAGGAACGATTCAAACTGGGTGATTGGGTTTACTTGAAGCTTAGACCTTATCGCCAGCACACAATCTCTCAAAAGACTCTATTCAAGCTGGGAAGTCGTTTCTATGGCCCATACCAAATTGTGGAACGCATGGGGGAAGTTGCTTATCGACTTGATCTACCGGCCGAAGCTCAAATTCATCCGGTGCTTCATGTTTCTCAACTAAAAAAAAGTTTGGGGAAAAATCAAGGAGCTCAACCGAGGCTGCCGACAGTGAACTCCGAGGGCACTATGATCATACGTCCAATACGAGCAGTGGATTATAGGAGGGTAAAAAGAGCTGGTCGCTTCCGTTGGGAAGTCTTGATCGAATGGGACCAACTTCCGGAAGAGGAATCGACTTGGGAAAGTTTACACGATATGCAAATTCAATTTCCAGATTTTGTCCTTGAGGACAAGGACAATCTTGAAGGAGACGGGAATGATGCGGATGAGGGCCCAGCTGAAGAATGCGTACAACCTCGTCGAGCTAAAATGAAGCTGCAGAAAAATTTTGGATTTTCAGGGGTTAGCGGCGCTAAGGACCCTTAGCGCCGCTAAGGCTGAGGATAGCCGGGACAGAGGCTTCACGCTAAGATGATTAGCGGCCAGTAATGACCCTTAGCGGCGCTAAGGCCTGGGCGGAAGCAGTTTTTTATTTCAGTTTTCTTTTCGTTTCAAGTGTATTTGGGTAGTTAGTAGGGTTATTAATTATATGCGTTTTTGGGACATTTCCAGACTATCTTTTGGCATTACTATCATATTTTTTAAGAAAAGCTTGTTTTCAAACAAATCATAGTGTAAATCGGGTTCTTTAATTCGGTTTTGATACAAAATTTGATACTCGATACACGATTCGTAACATAAACCAAACGCGCCCTAAATTTATCGTAACTGAAAAAAGAAAAAGAAAAGAAAAAAATCGGACTCTCTCTAGACGATTCGAGAGGCTAGCGGGAGAAAAATCTGACTCGGGGGAATATCGGAGATGGCGGTGGAAGGCAGCGCGCCGACTCGCATAATGATTGCGGTGAATGAGTCAACGATCAAAGGTTATCCACACGCATCGATAAGCAGTAGGGGAGCATTCGACTGGGCTTTGAAGAAAATCGTTCGTTCTAATACCTCTGCTTTCAAAATCTTGCTTCTTCATGTTCAAGTGCCTGATGAAGACGGTAAAATTCACTTGCACGACATTCTATGGGCGAGCCTGTAGCTCTTGTTTTTGTGATTGTTGACTGCTCTCTGTGTGTGATGTTTGTGTCAGGTTTGCTTGCGATCTTAGGTTAGGGGTTTTCTAGGTTTCGTTCATTTTCCCTGTTTATGTTTATTTTGTGAAGTTGTCAGTGTTTGGCTACCGCGTGGATGACAGAGTTCTTCTTTTCGGATCAACCTTTATTATTTCCTCTGGAATTTCAGTTACTGAATGTGTGGCATTAGCTTCTCCTTGTGATTTTAATTTTGTGTTTTTGGTGATTTAGTCTGTTTTCTTGCATTTCCTATACCACACAGCGAATTGCAAATGAAACTACGTTTCGTCTGTTGTGTTCCAGTTTATGCAGTTCTACTTGAACATTAACTTTTCATGGTGGCTCCTAGTGACAAAACTAGTCTACCAGCATATTTTCTTTTTGTTATGCATCAATGTCTGAGAAATACCTCTTTTATCTTTCAAGAAAAGAGTAATAGTCTTCTACGTTAAATGAAGTACTGTTAATAAATGATATGCTAACTAGCCGTTATTTACGTGGAATGGTGACTAAGTGGCCTCCTGCCACTACTGGGTTCAATGTATTTTATGCCGTGTTATCGCTTGATTTGTCTCACTTGGATGTTTAATGGACGATTTTCACTAGCCCATCAAAGGAATCGATTAATATATATCATATTTTTCGATTATCAGAATTTATCCAATTTGTCCAGGTTTTGATGATATGGATAGCATATTTGCCTCTCCTGAAGATTTCAGGAGGATGAAGCACAGAGACAAGATAAGAGGGCTTCATCTATTGGAGTACTTTGTGCATCAGTGTCATGAAATTGGGGTACAGAAAACTGTAACTCTAGCTCTTGCAGCCCTCTTTCTCATATTGATTCAATTGCATGCAGTGAGGCATCTATTTGCGAAAAGCAATTTGTCTCGCTCAACTTCATTCACGCTAGAAGCAAATAATCTTTGTCGTTATAATTTATGGAGACGAAATAATGTCTGTATATTACTCTGTCTAGATATTATTTTGCACTTTTTTGTGAATATGTGTTTGTTTGTAGGTTGCTTGTGAAGCATGGGTCAAAAAAGGGGACCCAAAAGAAGTGATCTGCTATGAAGTGCAACATGTCCAGCCGGATTTTCTTGTTGTTGGAAGCAGGGGACTTGGTCCTTTCCAGAAGTATGTTTGCTTTTGTACTTTCGCTTTTTATCTCCCTTGAGTTGGAAATATATTCACGTCAGGACAATTAGGAAAAACCACCCTCAATATTTTGCATAATTGCAAGAACTCAAGTTTTGTTTTAAATTAAAAATGCTCCTTAATGTGTTATGAATGCTCCTGCCTATGGTGTTTGTTTATGCAATTACTACTATGTTTTCTAAATAGAACGTATGACTTATTAGAAGAAAAATATTTTGACATAAGCAGTGGTACTGTAATTTGGCCGAGAACCATAGGGACATTTTCTAGTTAATCCTTTCTTCCATTCTTTGGTTCTGTTACCTTTTATAACTTTCTCATATTTGTGGTTCTGATTTTAGGACACCAAATTGTAGAAGTTTGCAATAGTTTCCAATTCAATAGTTTGTCTAGGCCACCGTTGTGTGGTTCTCCCAATCGCCGGCTTGTATTGTGTTGACATTTTGTCTTTGTGTTCGTTTTAATGTTATGAGCTTTCTATCGTTGGAAAAAAAAAAAAAATAGTTTCCAATTCAAATGTGCCCATAACCTCAATACTGGGATAACGCTGAAATTCCTTAATGATCTTTTGTAGGGTTTTTGTGGGGACTGTGAGTGAATTCTGTGTAAAACACGCGGATTGCCCTGTCATTGCCATCAAACGCAGTTCGGCGCAGACCCCTCAAGACCCTGTTGATGACTGATTGTTTGGTTCATCTCATTTATTGTCAACTAGAAGTACATTGTCTATGTGCTGTAAATGGATCAAATTCGCTCTCTTCAATTTCACTTTTTGTTTGTCAAAAGGCATTGGGACCTTGTATAATGTGAATCTGAATCCTTTATAAACATACTTTGGCGTATGTGTATCGCTTCTGGGGTTACCTTTGCATTGTAAGTAATTGCAAATTATGAAAAACCTGTTTTTGCAGTATGCCTGAGATTTGTGTCTGTACTTGATGATCATTGTTATGATTCTGTTTTATTACGGTAATCATACCTGTCAAATATGGTGGTTGGTGTGGAAATTGAAACATCTTTAATGTGTCGCCGTGTAGGTGCTTCTTATGGGAACGTTAGAAATTGTCGCGCCATCTAGTTGCTGCATAATGTTTGTTGTGTTGATTACAGAAACTGTTTAAATTTAACATTATTTATGACGAGAATTTGTTAGCACATGAAGGAATATTTGTTTGTTCACGAGATCAATAAGAGTTCTTATCTTTGTGGTCATGCAAACTTTCGTGGATGAGTTTCTGTATATCTGTAATTATCCCAGTGGTATTATGGAATTGGAAAATAGAAAAGTGATACTCTTTGACTCATCGTTCATGACATTAAGAGCGACATACTTTAACACTTTCTACACTCCGAGTCCGACCAAGTTTTACCTCTTAAGTAATGCTAAAGAAGTCTACTTTCTACACTCCGAGTCCGACCAAGTTTTACCTCTTAAGTAATGCTAAAGAAGTCTACTTTCTACACTCCGAGTCCGACCAAGTTTTACCTCTTAAGTAAAGCTAAAGAAGTCTCTAAACTACGCAACTTCATAACAGTTATATCCATTTCAAATGATAGATAATTAGAAGAATTTCAATTGATGGTTTTGTTTTTTGTTTTTTGTTTTTCCAAAGCGATAAAAATAACTCCATAACCAAGAGAAACAAAGTTTACAGCTAGTAGGCCAACTAGCCCATACAACCCAAACAAAACAAATACAAGGAGAGCCACCTACACAAGTTAGCCTAAAGCACACTAAGAGAACTCAAACTGAGAAGACTATATTCACACACAACCATTTAGGGCCTATATCCTCTTATACAACAACCACTACCAACATCAAACAAACTATCCAAGTAGAAACAAATAATAAGAAAAAAGAGAGTCCACTGAATACAAGAACCTAGACCTCTTTTTCCCTGCCAGAACACCCAAAGGCAAGCATTACGCAGCAGCAAATCCAGCTCACTCCTTCTAAGCAAACTGCACAATGTCTTTATCCCTTAGCAACCTGTTTTAGACCCGCACATTCCAGGATTTCCAAAGCCACCACAACATATATGTGGATAGTTGGATTCTTTCTTCAGCAAAGTTGGAGTGATTAAGTTTTGAAATCTTCCACCACCATTCTTTAAAGCCACACACATTCAGATTATGAACCCAAGTCACAGGTGATAATTTCCATACCTTTTGAGCCCTTGTGCAAGTGAACAGAGTGTGAATAAAGGACTTCTCCTCTTCTCCGCAACACTTGCATATGCTATCAACAGCCACTCTGTTGTGTTTTAGCTTTTGGTTGACAGGTAAAGTCTCAGAGAAACACTTCCAGATGAAGTGTTTCAACTTCCCTTTGTCTATAAGTTTCTTGCTTTTGTAGCCCTCTTCTCTGAACTACTACCCTCAGTAGTATCCCACATGTCGATTTTTTCCTTAATAAGGTTAGAGTAAGCACAAACCACTTAAAAGCTCCCCTTGCTACCGCCAGTCTAAGTCCACCTATCGTTCAAGTTTGGTTCAAAGTATTAGTCCTTAGAATGGCTTCACTGTCAGACTTTTTAAAGCTCTCTCTGACCGTATCTTCATTCCAGGATCTTCATCCCACTGCAATTAATTCTTTGACCCCGGTAAGTTGTCTCCCATTAATGCACTTAAGGCTCTGGTATACTTGACCTCAGCTCTGACACCTAAGGGTCTCTTCCAATTTTGGTGTTTAGATCATCTCTAACTTCCCTCATGAAGAACTGAGAATATTTTTGCATTACCTACACCCAGCTATTCCATATCCAGGACGAGCTTTGAGTTCTTTTAGCTTAAAAAATGCATCCTCCAGCATAGTATTTTTCTTTTAAGATCTTGTTTAAAAGGAAAATAAAAACATGAAACTGCATAAAGAAAAGGGAAAACATTCCTCATTGATGTATAACTCGATTTTTGAAATGTTCACAGCTTGCTTGCTGTCATGTTACATGCAACATGAATTATGGACATATATTTATACTACCAAAGCACTACTCAGCACCACAGGATGCCCTACACGTGCCAGCTCTTTCTTACAAGCCATTGGATCAACTTGCATGCTTTTAGGGTTAGTTTCCTTGTCTTTTTCTTCTTCTGAATTTCTGCAGGCTTTAACAACCTCTTT